AGTCTTGATGATTTACTATAACTTTTGTTGCTGGCGAGAACTGGTCCCTAAGCTAATCATGATTTGCAAGGTTTTTCATCAAAAATGAGTTGTATTGATCAGGTTCACCACAAGTTACTTGCGGTCCAGATGCGATACGAATACGAGGAGAAAGTGAAGATATTTTTGAGGGACAGGTAAGATTTTTTCAAAGCTAGGGACTTGGTCGATTGCCAGAATTTGCTCCCTCTTCTTGACTAGAAATATTTTTAGATATTTATCAAAAATCAACGGCGAGCTGATGATTGTTATGTTGTTTACTCGGCTGAAGACAATTCTACCACACCTGAATTCAAATTGTCATTAAATCGAATCGCTTCATGTGGTATTGATATGCGAAGAAATGTAAGAAAAACTAGAATTATTACGACTCATATCAATCGATATTTTTAGCCATCAGTTGGATTAGAGCTTTTTTCCGTATTTGTATTCGCTTTTCATCCATCATTTGTGACAGCTGGCGATCGTGCATTTGCTGTACATTGTCTTTTTCAACAAAAACAGTTGACTGTTTCGACACGATTCGACTTTATCAGGTATGCACCCACTGTCTTGAATTTGTGACAGTTGTCCGAAGTGACGCTTTCAGTGATATCACACCAAGAGCAGTGCTTGGTGCGACAGCTTTTGTGCCAACCGTACAGCTCTCGATTGTTCATGGACGAGTACCAAATGGGGCCAAAGTTGCTTCATACGTTAGTGTTGGGGAGCCATTGATGTTAATTTGGCAAACACAAACAGATTCACGTAAGTTCCTTCAATATGTTAAGCGGAGCGAAAACTGGTCCCCGAGGCTATTCTTGGAAGCGGAAAAAAGCTTTGGTTTAAGAAGTAGTTTTCCTAATAGAATTCTGGCGTGTATTTTTGTAAATCGTATTACTTAAACAGTGGCTCCGCCCCGCCACGCCTCCCTTTGGGATAAGTTAGTCCTGCTCTGAAAATTTTTCATACAATTAATAAGTTTACAGCGCATATTTATTAATTCAAGACTGCCCGTGCTGGCGTCGTGCCAGCGCCGTGCCAGCGTTCATTTGGAGATCTTGTACCGATATCGATTAAGGCGTGACGCTGGGCACGCGTTGGCGCACGCGCAAGTCTGGACCAACTTTAGAAGCATTTCATATGGGCGAACTTTGAAATGGGCGTGGCTTTACT